TCTATTTCTAGCGATGATTTTCTATGTAATAATAGAAAAGCCTTAATGCAAAAACAAGGGGTTCTGCATGTTCACATACTGTTTCAAACAAACAAAAACAAGAAGCCATTTACTACAATGAAGCTCCTTCGAGAAGTCTCGAATATGCGATCAGATAGACGTAAACACAGAAACAACGACAAAGATTCGCCGCGTTTTCTGAGAAAAAGCATATTTTTCAAGCAGAAATTTGATTTCTTTTTAAAGAAGTAGACTTTAAAATCTAAATATTATCTTTCTTCGGAATATTTGTTATACCAAATTGAAACTGAGTCTTTATTACCTTGAACCATAAAGTGAATCAGTTGATGACCAATCTCTAACAGCTTCTTCACCATCGAAAAAAAGCAATTGTAAAGTTAGTTTTCCTTTCTAATAAAAAAAAACACAACAAATATGAATTTTTTTTTCTTTCTTTTCATCTTACATTTTTCTTTAATTCATTTAATTGTTTTTGAAGATTAATTGCTAAATCAAGTAATATAGCACATGGTACGGCACTATCTGTAGCACCAACAAAATTCGGAAGTTTTTTTGAATCATAATGACAAGCAAGAACAAGACGACGAGATGCTGTTGGATCAAGTGTAGCTACTATATTCGTAAATTCAACATTACCATCCTAAAATTAAAAATAAATAACTAGATGATATTCGAGTTTTACATGACTGCAAAATGCAGTGCAAAGCAACAAATACATATCATCGAAAAAATTGATATCTCATAAAAAAACCGAACAATCTTTTCAACTATTAATTACACAATATTTCACCACCCGAGATATTTACAGTTCATATCAATGTGAGTTCGTTTCATGTCACCCTTATCGGAAACTCGAATGATCTACGTTTCGAATAATAAAGTACTCGAAGTTTAATACAATGGTAAAGTCGACATGGCAAAATTCATTAATATGAGAATTTTATTAGCATGTTTTCAGAGGACGCTATGAATTTATCGCTTAATTATCTATATGATTCATTATTTATAATCATCTGTCCATATAACTTTGATGAATAAAATCAGCTTGTCATTGTTTTAATTATCTCGAAACTAACGAGGGAACCGCTTCAGTTCTCTCCTTCCAATTTCAATAATTTTTTTTTTTCAGTAGATGCTACAAAGTGTTCTAATAAAAATCCCCGAAGAATTTAAACTTCTGTTAAGATCTGACTAAGCTATCGAATTTTGATTGTAAACTTTGCCTATAGAGAAATCAACTAGACTAGCTTCTTTTAAAAAATTCACAAGTTTTGAGTAAAGTCTCTTCGAGATATGAAACTTTCAACAAAATACATATTGTATACATCATCCATGAAAGATGATCTATATTTTGAAAGCCTCATGTTCGAAAGAGACTTATTTCGAAATTAATGAATCTTTTAATGAAAGTTAGTCCAGTTGAGTGCTCTATATGAACAAAGTTTCACAGCAAAATTCGAAAAATTCAATTTTTCCGAAAATCTGGTACTTCTAGAGAATAGATGTATTGGCAATTCAATAGGTGAGTCAAATATCAATCGAAGCTCAAATCCTCTTAGTATTTTTATTAGAGTAATATGCAGTATCTATAGCTAAAAAATCATTAAAATCAGAAGGAGACAGCTGAAGAGATTCCTTTGTAAATCCACAAAAATTTATTTTTTTGAGCTACTTTCTTGAAGAATCCTATTGAAAATTGGAAGACTAATGGTATAGATTTAATAATGAAATTTTATCCTTATGTTTGAACTAATATTTTCTATTTTTTTGTTTTCGAAGTCATCGTGATCGAAAAATAATAATAGATAAATGTAGTGCGAAGCGACCTCATATTTCAACAATAGGGTTGGAATTAATACTAGAGCGATAAACGATTTCATCTACAGCTGATCTTGTCGTGTCGCAAGTTTTCATTTTTTCTTCTGCTCATTTGGACACTAGCTCATCACTTTTAATTATCTCGTATAAAAGATAGTGGCCAAAATAATCTCTTTGACAAGTTTCTAGCGATTTGTCGTTCTCTAGGTCATCGCAACACAAAGTACAGACTTTGTTGCAGCGAAAAATACGTCAAGTATGAAGTAAAAAAAAATGCAAAAAACGACCGACTACAGAAATGTTGTGCTTCGCACCACATTAAAAAGAAGTTTTGAACATTACTGGTGTCATTTCATCAAATGTATCAAGTTCAATATTCCACATATTAGTCGATTGTAATTTTGACATAATAAATTGTCTAGCTTTTGCATTGCCTGATGTACCAGATACTCGTTCAATTAACAAAGGTCGCAGTAAATTCAGACGAAAATCATCAGAATTATCAGATAGTGTTGAAAAACATTGATATTGTTTAGCACCTATTTCACGTACACCATGTTTGACCTAAAATAAAAGAATTTCAAAGAAGAAAAAACAAATAATTTAATAATAAATAAAAATTTATGAACGATTGTCAGTACCCGTGTTACATATTCATGAAGAATGAATATTAAGAAGCAAAGAAAAGTAATAATGAATATAAAAAGCAATGGTGCACGCAATACTGGATTTTCAGCATTAAGACGACAGACAGGCATTTTATTTTCAAATTATTCAACTTACACGTCGCGTTTGTACTAGATGAACATTATAGCACAAGAACGATATTAGTAGTATCGAAAACATATTTAATAACGGCATCTAGAATAGATAGATGTAAATTACCTTAGTAAATAAGAATAACATTGACAAATATCGTCGATAAAACATTCTTTGTATGGATGATCGCTTTCTCTCTATTTTTTTTTCTCAATGTCATTCATCATCTACAAAATAGCTTCATATATATATAGTTTTCTTTCGAATCAATTTAATCTTGGTAAATATTGTTTATTAATGGCTTACTAAATACTTTAGTTATATTATTTTCGAAGGTTTCCAATAGAAATCTGAAACCATGTACAAATAGATGCTTCATTTTTATTGACAAAAAATACATCAAAATAATACCATAGCAAAGAACTGATCAATAAAGACCTAAGTAAACTTATTACTATTCGTATCTTGTTATGAACAAATGTTCGTCTGACTAGGTTTAAGAAATACTTGTATAAATTAATTTCTACTATCATATGCATATAAGAAATTAAAAACAAAATGATAAAATTAAACTAATTATTATTATTTCTGTTGTTCGTACATGTTAATACATTCATTGCAAGATCGTATAATTGCTTCGATTAAAATTCCTAATGCCTTCAAAAGAGAGCTAATGAAGAAAGTATATTAGAAATCTACAACAAGACAAGCAACTTTTCAATAATACTGCAACAAATAAGCAAAATGTATTTTCTACTTTGTAGAGTACCATCATGATACTTTGCTTGTGCTTCAGGTACTCAATATTAGAAATATTTTCGAGATTCGGACTTGATGTAATCCATAATGTTGATCATCGAGTCTTTAAAAGCTTATTAATCTTTGAACTCGCTTTAAAAGGCGTATTGATCCCTTTCATAGGAACATTTGTGTTCTATTTGTTTCTTTTATTAACCAATTAGAATACTCATTCGTAAAAGTTTCACTTATTTTCTCAAATGAGCAATTTCTTTTTTTGTATTTTTACGATTCTTATAAACAATCTCAATAATTGGCTGTAAAAAACTAACCAATATAATTTTTTTTTGTCATATAAATATCGCCACAATCAACGAAATGCCAAGTCATGTGTTGATATCTCATAAACCATTGATTTACTCTTCTGTTTCTATTTCTTTTACCTGAAAAAACTAATCCACATTCCAATGTATTTTCTAGTGTTCTGAATGATCTAGTCAAATCAATGTCAGCAGCATCAGAAAAATTTCATTTTGTTCTTAGCCATGAACTTCAAGATCGTATTCAAATAAAAATGTAATAGAATTTATTTTACGCTTTCGAAAAATTTTCTTTTCTACGTATTTTTATTAATATTTTGACAGTGCTTCCATTGATGGTGAACGAACGCAACAACAACAACAACAACAACAACAACAATCGCAACAACCTATTAATGATATATTCTTTTCTAATAACTCGTCATTTATTCGTAATTTAAATGACGCAAAACATAGTGAACCTTATGTACTTTGTCAAGTTTTTTCTGATGGACAATCACTTTGTATGCCTGTTCAAACATCATTTAAATCATTTACTGATAAATGGAGGTATGAGAAGTAATAATTTAATTTTTTCTTTTTTTCTAAATTTCTCTTTATCTTTTTGTTTTATTAAGTTGGAATGAATGGTTAACATTACCATTAAGATATTGTGATTTACCACGATATGCAATACTTGCATTATCAATTCATGAAATAATTTCACCAACACAAGTTCGTATTATTGGAAGTACAACCATATCGCTGTTTGATACTGATGGGTAAAGTTTATTGTAAAACATTTATTAAAGGTTTATAAAAGTTCAATTTTAGAACATTTCGACAAGGAATTTACGATTTAAAAGTTTGGCAAAATGTACTACCAGATGTTAAGTTTAATTCGTCAACACCTGGAAAAATTGAAGCTATATCAAATAATGAACAAATTCTTAGTAATCATACAAATCAAAAGATAAAAACCGTAGCTTCATCACCAGCTATAACAACAACTAATCTTCAATCGAATCGAAAACAAATAACATCTAAACCTTTGAATATTACATGGAATGATGATAGTGCATATCCAATGTTAGATGAATTAAATCGAATAGCAAAAGTAGAAATAAATTTAATTAGATAGTTTTTCTTCTTGTTCTTTACTGATTTTTCGATATTGTTTTTAGTTAATCAAAACTCAATGTGATGGTCATACAATAAATCAAGAATGGCTTGATCAATTAACATTAGCTAAAACTCGAACATGTTTAGCTAAAGAACGTTCAAATTCAAAATCAATGTTATTAATGATTGAATTTGCTCGAACGATGGTTCATGATAATGAATGTATTGTATTATATTTTGAACCGGTATTTAAAACTATTCATTTTTTTAAAAACTATTATTATATATTTATAAATTAGAAATGTGATGATGTACTCAATTATCCAATTGGGTATACTGATCTTGTTGTTTATGATCCTGAACTTGACCTTGTAAGTTGACAGAATGAAAATTTCTTTCGTATAGTTGTTTAATGCATAGGAGAATATTGTTGAAAGCAACCATCTAAAATTATCACGTAGTGCTCGTAAAGCATTAGATAAAGATTTAAAACCAACACATGAACAACGAGATAAACTTATGCAAATATTAGCTTATCCACCGGGACAATATCTATCTGATGATGAACAAGATTTAGTATGGAAATATCGATTTTTTTTATCACAATATAATAAAGCACTTGCTAAATTTCTGCAATGTGTTCATTGGGATAAAGAAGAAGAAGTTAAACAAGCATTAGATTTATTACAACAATGGGCTACTATGGATACAGAAGATGCACTTGAATTACTTGGTCCTACCTATCATCATCCGAAAGTTCGTTCATATGCAGTATCAAGACTGCGACAAGCACCAGATGAAGTAAAAACTTTTTATTATTAATATCTTATTTTCGATTTTTAAAGAATTTTCCTTTATTTAGGATCTTCTTCTATATCTTTTACAATTAGTACAAGCTCTACGATATGAACGTTATGATTTAAATAATACTTCAATGGTAGATTCTCTAGCAGAAGAACAGACTAGGTTTATTATTAGAAGATTTTCGAAAAAAACAAAAAATAATTCTATTCAAATCTTTATTTTATAGTTCCAATGGTACTTATGAAATTTTTGCTAATGCTATTGGACAATCAGATTCAACATGTAGTGATGTAACAAAATCTTCTTCATCAGAAGTATATTCTATATTTTGATTTACTAAAATAAAATAAAATGATTCATATTTTAGGTTGATTTATCAACATTTCTTATTCAACGTGCATGTGAAAAACCGGTTGTAGCAAATTATTTATTTTGGTTTGTTATTGTTTTTCTTTTCATCTTTTATTTAATCATTAATTTCCCATCAAATATAGGTATGCATATGTTGAATGTGAAAATAATAGTTCATCAAAAGATAAAGCTATTAGTGATATATATCAAGCATTTGTAAAACGACTTAGTATGACACTTAAAACGGTAATTTCGTTTAATGCATGACAAAAAATTTCAGTCAAATTTTTTTTTCATTTTAATTGAGAGGATTAGTAGGAATTTTAAGACCTCCAGTTTAGATTAGAAATTTATACTCTTTCGGAATTTTTATTGGTCTCATAAGTTAGAAGTTATGAAATCGTCTTTGAATGATCTGAAAAGGAAGTTTGCATGAAAAAAGATGGAGAATGTGGATGTAACACATTTGACAATGATTCTATGGTGTGCATCTTTGTACTTTTGTTAATACTTTTTTTAGAGCGGAAAAGTGCTAAAAATTCTTGTAGCAAGTGCTTTCATCCTCGGAGTGCTAGAATTGGTGACCGAGAAGGAGAATGAAATTCGTTATGATTTGGTTCCTGTCAGAATGGCGCTGGCAGATTATTAGCATAGACTATACTCGATAAAGAACCGAAAGTTTCACAGCAATTCTTTAGAAATGATCGAAGTGATTTATTAAGTCTAGAAAATATTACTGTCTCTTGTCAAACTTCTGATTGTTGATTGACACTTTACAGAAACCTAACAATCAGAATATTATTTTGTAGAGAAATTTTAATTCTTTCTTTTTGTCTATTTGAAAAAATTCCGAAAGAGAAGAAAATTCTGATTCTAACACAAGAATTCTACTAACCTTTCTAATCAATGAAAAAAAAAATGAAAGAACATTGTATCTCAAAAATTTCGAATCATTCGTTATTATGACTTTATATGTATACATAAGTTTTTAATTGAATATAGGTGAATGAACAAACTCAACAGGTGCGTTTATCAACAGAAGCACAAAAAAGATTTGTTGATAAACTTGTTGAATTAACAAATATTGTTAAACGTGTACAAGGTACAGCTAAAGTTAAAGTTAGTTTAATTTTATGAAAAATAATATTTAAATTTTATTTATGAAACATTCTAGGAAGATAAACTTCGTAGTTTGTTATTAGCTGGTGATGATTCACCAGTTAAATTTAATTTTCTTAATTTTGATCCAATACCTTTACCCCTTGATCCTGAAGTTAAAATTCGACGAATTAATCCTGATAAAGTTAAAATATTTAAAGTAGAATTATTTTTCATTTTATAAAAACAAAACAAAGAAAAGTATGATCTCTATTTCTATTCTTTTAGAGTGCTAAATTACCATTTTTATTCGTTTGTGAAACAGTAGATGGTGGAGAATATTCATTTATATTTAAAAATGGAGATGATCTTCGACAAGATCAACTTATATTACAAATAATTATGTTAATGGATCGAGTAAGATTAATAAATATTTCTTTTTTCATTTTAATTTAAAAACAAAATTAGTTTTATAAAAGAATTTTCATCTATTCGGATTGACAAAATATTGACTTAGATAATTTCGAATTTAAATTAATAAACAAATTTCAATTGATATAGAAATGAATAATTTGTTTTCTATTTTTTTAGATCCTACGAAAAGAAAATATTGATTTAAAATTAACGCCATATAAAGTTCTATCAACAAGTTTGAAATATGGTAAATATTATATTGTATTTTAATAAATCAAAAAAAACATTTATTTGCTTAGCAAATAAAGATTTTATAGAGTATGATCAATTTTGCCCTAGGAAATTCTTTTTTAGTATTTGATTGAATACTTTTGTTAATCAACCAGAAGTAAAATGATGATTTTTAAGTGTATGTGTGTGGGTGTTTTCTTCCGTTATGAATGAATTTCAACAATCAACTAGCTAATCAATAAATTTTTGAAATATTACATTGATTATTTAATGAGAAAATGTTAATAGAAAATTAACATCGTAAAATAAGTTATAGTCTTTGTTACAGTTGTCTATTGCGATATTTTATATTGTTTTTTAATGGCGAAATACTATGTAGATTCAAAATGAGGAAAAAAGGTCTCCCGGAAAGAATGAATTTTTCTTTTTTTTCTCCAGACCTTGAAAGTTTTTTCATAATCGTACGATAACTCGCGACTTTTTATCATAAATATTTGCATACGTAATGTTTTTATAGTGATAAGATGAAGATACGAGAGTACTATCAAACCATTAAGCAAAAAACTTCATTAACATATTTTTAATTGAAGGTTTCGTACAATTTATTGATTCTCAACCATTACGAAAAGTACTTGAACGTAGTCGTACCATTCGACAATATCTACAAAGTAAAGCAGCAATTACCAATAGTGACGATACCACTCAAAATGAAATTGGTATTCCTCATGATGTTATGGATGCTTATGTTAAAAGTTGTGGTTAGTTATTTTATACTTTTCTATTATTTTGATAAATATAAAATATTTTGTTTTTCTTCAGCGGGATACTGTGTAGTGACGTATCTATTAGGTGTTGGAGATCGACATCTAGATAATTTATTATTACGAGATTCCGGTCAATTATTTCATATTGATTTTGGTTTTATAATGGGTCGTGATCCAAAACCATTACCACAAGCAATGCGTGTTTCAAAAGATATGATGGAAATGTTAGATGATAAACGATTTCTTGATTTTTTACGTCATTGTTTTACAGCTTTTATTATTCTTCGAAAGTAAATATTAATTGTTTCTTTTTTTGTTTTTTATCTTATATCAATTTTAAATTTATTTAATTCGTTTATAGACATGCAAATGTATTTGCTAATTTATTTTCACTTATGCTTGATGCAAACATACCTGATATAGCGTTAGAACGCGATAAAACAGTTAAAAAAGTAATTGGAAAACGAAAACAAAAAACACAATAATTTGTTATTAAAATAAAATTTTCTTTTTCTTTTTAGTTACTTGATAAATTTCGACTTGACCTTGATGATGAAAAAGCAATAAGTTATTTAAAAGATTTAATCGATTCGAGTATTGGTGCAATTGTACCACAAGTTTATGACTATTTTCATAATTTGTTACTCGCTTTCCGATGATTGAATCCTGTGTTTATGTATGCTTCCAAACTTTTCATGTAATCATACTTAGAGAAAAAGAAAACGAACAATTGTACTCACCTGTTTTTATTTATTACTATTACTATTATTACGACTATTTTTTTGTTGACATAAATTGTTTTTACGTGTGATTTTTCCCTTTTTGCTGCTTTTTCATATGAAAAGCCAGATATCAAGAAAAAAATTATTTATTATTTTTCAGATAATTTAACGAGAAGACAAAACGAATATGCCTACTTTAAATATTGAACGTCCAAGGTTATCGAGAGAAATGCGTCATGCATTAAAACGACATATTCTACGTGAACGACAAAGGAAAAAAGAAGAAGCAGATGCCAATGAAGCAGATAAACAAAGAAGACGTGCAGAAAAGGTTTTTTTCTTCTCTTCTCGAACGTTTATGAAATATCTATAATAGAAGTAGAATTTTAGTAACTTCATATGTTCGCGAGAGTTTAATGTGAGATATCGACTAAAGATTTAGCGAGAAATAATTGTGGTTATCTTTTCATTCCATGACACTAATTCATAGAATAAGCAACTGCGTAAGTATCAAATTACCGGCGGTTCGTTTTTGTTCCGTTTGAATCATATGGGTTATATAGGCGTTGATTTATGACACTGATATGGTTGAATTTGCGCAAAGTTATTTCATTATGAAGATGTAGAATGGACCGTACATGATGCTTACCTTTTTTTTTATGATATAAAAATGGCATTTATTCTTAATTTGACCTTTTTTCGCGGCTATGCTATTGTTTTACCTATATGAAGCTGAAGAACTACGTATCATGAATTATTTTTTGAAAAATAAGTCATTTCGAGGAATGATATATGATTAGATACTTGCAAAGGTAGCTATTTTAGGATTGAATATTAGTTTGTTCTTTTCTTGGATCGTGTCGGTATAGTTAGTTTTCAATTTATTCTTATAAGTTCTCATTCCTTTTGTTAAGGTCTTGCTCAGATGGAATGTCATAAAATAAAAGCTGTAGATTTTTTATCTTCTATCAATAAGAAATTATTTTAAAAACAATCACGGAGTGTTTTTTTTGACTGGCTGTTAGTTCTAATAAGGTTTTTATGTTATTATTTAAAAGTTCATATCGAAAAAAAAATAATCATGAAAAAAATGTTTTTCATATTATTCATTATGAATGAGTCAGAAATGACTCAAGTTGTCGTAAACGTGGCAAACATCAGAATAATCAATCTGCGTAATTAACCAAAATAAAAATAATTCTTTTCGTCCAACTCATAAAACTTAGACAAGAAATAAAGAAAAGAAGTTTTATTTTTTTTTTACATAATTATACCTCATTGAAAACTTTATAAGATATTCGAGAATTGTCTCAATTCGATGTTTCATCACTCCGAATAGATACCCATTCGATTTCAGTCAGCCAATCAATCGATGGTACCTTGATACTTAAGCCGTTGGGTCTTCTATTGTGGTATACTGAGAGTTGTTCTCCAACTGGCAATTTACTATCAACATTTTTGTGTATCGCGATAGTGCGGATAAACGTGTAACATGGGTACTTTGTATGAATGAGTTTAAAATGTCTCAACAAGGGTTAAACTGTTTCTTGTATGTGTTGAGAAGTAAATTAAAGATTAAAACTCAATTTATTTATGAAATTTTAATATTTAAATGAATTTTTCTTTTCAGGCTAAAGCATTATCATCATCAAAAGTTCAATTAGAAGATAATGCAAAAGATATTCTCGAATTACAACGAACATTAGTTGATTTAGAACAACAAAAAACTGAGCAGTATAATTTATTAAGACGTGCATTAACTGAAGAAGATCGACGAAAACATTCTCAACAAACTGTAACAAAAGAACCATCATGGACAAGTCTTTATTCACCAAGTAAAACTTTAAAAAAAAACATATTTCATTATTAAAAAACAAAAACTGTTTTGTTCTTGTTTTTAAAGATCTTCAAATGGCCCAATATGCTCATCATCCCCAACAGTATTTATCAGCCCAACAATCTCATCGTTTATTAGCATATAAACCTCCACCACCTCAACCATCTCAACCACCATCATTTATTCCGACAACAACATCAACAAATATTAGTTCCAAGCGATCACGTAGTCCATCATCATCTCATATGTATTCGTCACCATCAAATAAATCATCACGTTCAAGTCTTGTTCCTCCAATGCATTCAAGTAAAAACTTGTTTTTGTTCTAATTAAAAACAAAAAAAAAAGATAGAAAATTTTATTTAGGACCATTAAGTCCAAATTCATCATATTCATCGTCATCATCACAATCCGTAGTTCGTAATAGTGCACCTGGTTTTCCATCATCACAAAGTCAATCAGCATTTTCAGCTTATCTTGGTTATATGGCACCATCATCAGCTGTTCCTGGTCCATCAGCTTCATATCCAAGTTCAATACCACGTGTTCGACCATCATCACAAATGCCGAGTATGTCAACTAAACAAGCAAAAAATCGAATCCAAATTTTTTTTCTAGATTATTTAAATACATTACCATTTTTACCGCAACCAATGGTTGATCCAAAACAACAAGGACCAAATGTTTATTCACATCATCCAATGCTAAGACCTTCAAAAAATGGATCAATTATGAATGGTTATCCATTACAACCTCAACAATAGTATTTTGTTCTTTTTTTTTTCTTATTGTGTCCATATAAATATAATCTTGAGATTTATTTTTCTTAGTTTGTGTTTAATGTTGTTCATATATATATATATATATTATTTTTTTAAATTGATTAAATGTTTGGATATATGTATTATCTTGAATTTATTTCAGATATTTATTCATAAACAAGAAAATATTTATTTAAATGGATGATTCATATAAAAAATTAAAAGATAAATTATTATCAGATACAATTCCACTGAGCGATCGAGATTCAAATGAACAAACAATTCGACAAAGATTATTACCTCGTCGACGGGTAAGAATCAATGATAAGAACTATTAAAATTATCAAAAATTTCATAGAAAAATATGCTAAATTTAATTTAAAACAAATTCTAGGTTCATCAATGATATTTATACTTATGACTTTGTGACAATCTAAGAATTTTGAATACCTCTTCTTTTCTCAATATAAAAACTGGACTTCTATGAGAAAATATTCTTTTTGTTTGCTTATCGTCGATCATGATCCTTCATTAATATTAATATAATGAGTGATAGCCAATGTCATATATCTGCTTTGTTATTTCCCCCTTCGAAATAAAATGCTAATTCTTTACTTGTCTAACACGAGATAATACGTCATGGGCAGTAATACCTATCTATAATCATGTATAAATAATTAATTTTAAAATACCAAACTTAATAAAGAAGTACATTTTATTCCTAGAGTGAACCATCATTAGCTGTTGATCCAGAACCCAATAATTATCAGCGTAGTCCTTATCATCTATCTTATAGTAATTTATATGATCAAGCTGATGATTTAATTGATACAGTTCTTGAAGTTCCAACAAAATGTGTTGAACAAGCACGAGAAGTTGGTAAACGTGTTGTTCAATATGTTGTTGATCATAGTCATCTTCCACATTGGTTACTTGATAATGAATTTCTTATATCAGGACATCGTCCACCAATGCCAAGTTTTAAAGAATGTTTTGCATCTATATTTCGTCTTCATACAGAAACAGTTAATATATGGACACATCTATTGGGTACATTATTTTTTATTATAATGGCTATTTATTATATTTCACGACCATCAAGTGAAGTTCATATTGAAAAAAAGTTAACTTTTGGTGCATTTTTTCTTGGAGCTATTCTTTGTTTATCATTTTCAACATTATATCATACACTTTATTGTCATTCACCCAAAATTTCGAAATTCTTTAATAAGTAAGAAAAAAAGAAACATAAAAGTTTGACTTTTTATTTTCTATTATTAATTATTAAAAATATAATTTTAGACTTGATTATTGTGGTATATCAATATTAATTATTGCTTCATTTATTCCATGGCTTTATTATGGATTCTATTGTGAATTTGGAACGAAAGTAGCCTATTTATTAATAACTATTTTATTAGGTACTGGATGTATTATTGTTTCAATGTGGGATAAATTTGCTGCACCAGAATATCGTACATGTCGAGCACGTATGTTTTATATAGAAAAAAAAGTTTTTTTTTGTTTTATTCATTTTTATTTGTATAGTTCTTTTCATTGCATTTGGACTTTTTGGTTTCATTCCAACTTGCCATTATGTATTATTGTTTGGTTTTAAACATGCATTTACAAGTAGGTTAAACAAAAATTTTATTTTAGAATTATACAAATGAATTTAATGAGTTTAATACAAAGGATATTTATGAAATTGTCCAATATCAAATAAAATATAGAATAAGTTCAATTTTATTATTTCATATTTAATTATTTATATATTTTAGCTGGTGCTGCTCAATGGTTAGTCGTCATGGCCGTATTATATATTTCGGGCGCTTCGCTTTATGCTGGTAAGTTAATGATATTAATCTTTAGGGCTGTGAAAAATTAAGGAATCGTATATTAGATTCCACTCGTTTGCTCGTTCTTTGCTAGTTTAGGGTTCAAAGAGAAGAAAAATCTATGTGACTGTATGATGTTCGACTATGCTCTATCTACCTATAAAAACCAGTCAGTTTTTACTTTTGAAAAATTATAGAATCAGTATCGTAGTTTCATTATTTTCACATCAAGACGACTTCAATTTTGCTTGAAAGTCACATACACAGATAGAAAAAATTCTATTGAAAATTTTTTTATAAAAAAGTTTGAAAAAATCATTTATATTCGAATTTAAAATGGCTAAGAAACTTCACCTAAATTCAATATTTTAGCAAAAATATTTGAAACACATGCAAGACTGATTTTTCGACAGTAGATATGAATAGCGGACACACTTTGCAACAAAAACAAAACTCTCGGAAACTCGGCACATCATTTTATTGCAGGAAGACATACATTGTCACAATTGACGATGATAATGTGCAAGGACTTCAAGCTGTTTTCTATACTATTTCATGCATGAGAGTAGTATCTGTTTTGATTATATTTCTTGTTGAAATATTAGCCGTATGTAGAGCCTTCTGGATCGAAAATTTTCGGATCAAACCGGATTGAGTTCAGAACCAACTTGATGGATTCTAGTCTTGTGTGTGTGTTTCGAATATTCTTGATAAAATACTGAACTTAGGTAATGCTTTGAAGTTATTTTCCCTTCGTCAATAGCATCTCATTTTTCATTCAAATATAAACTATTTTTCAAACTTTTTTATGTGAAAATATTCAAAAAGAAATGTCTCTATATGCATATGTGACTTTTATTAATCAAACCCGAAATCATCTTAATACGAAAATAACTAAACTACCATATTGATTCTATAATTTTTCGCAAGCAAAAACTGACCGATTTCAGCAATTATTTATTTTGTCAAACTTAGTAGCATCATCGAAGAATCTGATTTTATAGTTACATAGAACATACTCAAACATATGTAGTTACATAGACTTCGCTTCGCTCGGAAGCGTAGACTGGTAGAAAATGACCAAACAACTGAAATCTAACATGTGATTTTATAATTTTTCTCAGGACTATACATATATATTCTACTTTCATTTCAAATAGCACGCATACCTGAACGATTAGCTCCTGGTTATTTTGATATATGGGTAAAGAATATTTTTCTCGTGACTTGTTTTATTTTCTGAAGTATCTTTTCTTTTAGTTTCAAAGTCATCAAATTTTTCATGTATTTGTTGTAGCTGCAGCATGTGTTCATTATTATGGACTATGTATACTTTCACTTCATCAATCAAGTATTGGTGACTGTCGTAAAAACACAATACCACCATTTACTAGTGTTTTCAATTCAATTTTTGATTAAAAAATGAGAAAAAATAACCGAAGTAATTTAAACCAGCAACACGTTATCATTTATATTGATCTGAGCATTTAGTTTTTCATTTGTTTTCTTGCGTTGTTGTGTTTTGTTTTCTAACTGTTCATCATAACTTTAATACTTGTCCTTTCGAATGCACCAAAGCGCTTCCTTTTACACTGTGATACGTAATAAAAAAAAAGAAGTACAAAAAAACAAAAAGAAACAAGCTTGATGCAAAAATTAAAAAAACATGTTATTGCTCAATTCAATGACATAATATATCAATATTTCCTTTAGAAATCATATTAAAGATTCATCATAATCAATTCGTTTTATGATAATAATGCTCATTTTAATGTTCCTTTGTTTGGTAACAAACTCATTGTAATAAAACTTGAATTCTTCATAGCATACAAACACAAAAATATTCATAAAGTTGTGAAAAAAAACATGTCAAGATACGAAGGCAAAATTTACATAACAATGACTACGTCAACCTACGGCCTCTATTTTTCTGCTTTGCAGAATTACAGTGCTTCTATTGATAAACTAGCCTATAAGAAATGATCAAAAGGAACAGAACAAGAAAAAAGTCAAAGATTCCCAGTGAGGAAAAAAACCCACTAGCCCATTGGAATCATGTATGCCTTTTCTCACTCAACAGTTATCATTTGTTTGAATATTCGCTTTCATGTCTGCACCGCAACCAAGAAGAGGGCGAGCACGTGGTCGATCAACCGTACATTCAATCGAACCTCCACCACCTTCAATTACCCCATCTATTGATGTCTCAGCTGCTACAACACCACCTACACTTGATACACCATCATCTTCTAGCACTCCTATCACCAATATATCAGTGACAACAACAACCACAACAACTGATGAGAGTAGAGATGATACAGAAATTTCATCGGCTTCGAGTACTTGCCAACCATCGATAGCTACTCCATCGACTGGCACTAGTGTTCGAGGTCGTGGTAGACCTATCAAACAAAACGTTGTACCAAAAGATGTTGTGCCAGAAGATCCTTATTGGACTGTCACCAACTTGACCAATGCACAATTCCATTCAAATATTCGACCAACAAAACCCGATGAACTAGGAACACTTGGAAAACAAATACAAGTCATCGTCAACTATTTTCCNATGTTGTTGATCATAGTCATCTTCCACATTGGTTACTTGATAATGAATTTCTTATATCAGGACATCGTCCACCAATGCCAAGTTTTAAAGAATGTTTTGCATCTATATTTCGTCTTCATACAGAAACAGTTAATATATGGACACATTTATTGGGTACATTATTTTTTATTATAATGGCTATTTATTTTACTTCTCGACCATCGAGTGAAATTCATATTGAACAAAAATTAATTTTTGCTGCATTTTTTCTTGGAGCTATTCTTTGTTTATTATGTTCAACATTATATCATACACTTTATTGTCATTCACCGGAAATTTCTAAATTTTTCAGCAAGTAAAATAAGAGAAAATAAATATGGTTTTAGCACTATTAATTATTATTATTTAGACTTGATTATTGTGGAATAGCATTTTTAATTATTGGATCAATTATTCCATTACTTTATTATCAATTTTATTGTGAATTTGGTACTAAAGTGGCTTATTTAACATTTATTGGTATATTAGGTCTTGGATGCATAGTTGTTTCAATGTGGGATAAATTTTCTGCTTCTCGCTATCGTGTCTATCGAGCCTGTAAGTTATTTAAATTAAAAAGAAAAAGAAACGAAATTTTTATGAGAAATTTTTAGTACTGTTTATTACATTTGGGGTATTCGGCTTTATTCCAACTTGTCATTATATGATTCAATTCGGGATTGAACATGCTTTTACAGGTATGATGATTTATAACTGTTTTTTGTCACTAAATATTACCTAATACATATATACAAATGCATACGAGTCCATGTCGACAAGGTTGTTTCGTATTTCAAGCCCTAGTATACTTATTTTTTTACTGAATAAAGTAAGTTTATTTTGCATTTTAGTTGGTGCCATACATTATTTGCTCTTAGTCGCTGCACTTTATCTTATTGGTGCTTGTCTTTATGCTGGTAAATAAAACTAGAATTTTTATTGCTTTCTCTTGTTTTATTTTGTATGTAGCACGAATACCTGAACGATTAGCTCCAGGGCTTTTTGATATTTGGGTAATAAAAAGAAAAATATTTTTCTTAATTATTCGTTATTTGTTTTTGTTTTCTAATTCTAAGTTCCAAAGTCATCAACTCTTCCATGTATTTGTTGTGATTGCAGCGTGTGTTCATTATTATGGTATATGTGTATTATCACACAATCAAAAGCATTTTTTTGGTGATTGTCGAAATATTTTAAATCCAAATGCAGTGCCAATAGCTTCAATAATCAGTTAATCAAATTAAAATTAACATAAAATATTTTATATTCGTAAGGTTTTCTTCCTTAATTTTCTAGTTTAATATTATATGTATATTATATATGTTGTGTTTCTCTGTGTACGTTCCAGCACATTTCTATATTATTTCTAATTTCGTGTTTTCTAAGCACAAAAGTTTTGTAAACTGTTCAGTTTTCATTGAAAAAAAAAATTGTTTAATGTCTGTTAATCATGTTTTTTTTTTTACTTTTCATTCATTTATATATGTTTTATTGGAAACTTGAAGATTTTAATTTTTCTTTTTTCATTTGAAAAAATATATTCCACTTTTTTTTTCTTTAACCTATTGATCTGATTCGATGTGTAAAAATGAAATGTTTTAGAAATAAGTTGAAGTGTAAATTTAATAATTTCTTTTTGTTTCTAGATAATTAATTCTTTTTTATATTATTTCAATCGTAAAAAAATTCATGGAAAACGAAATATTTACTGATAAACAAGACATTCGACAACGATTATATCAACGAACTCAAGTAAGTTAAACATTTATTATATGAGAAATTATAAAAATTTTTCGCTAGCTCTTTCGAGAAAAATATCATAGAAATAGAGTTTAAGATAATTTTTGTGAGAGACCATTAATAATTGCTTGATGGTTGTTTCCCTCTTGTCGAGGCTGTTGAAAACTGGCTCATCAAAAATATTTGAAACTTTCAGAATAGATAGATCTCAATGAGTTGAACAAAAGCTGTTATAAACTCTAAATTAGCAAATACTTTCTTCTTGGGTTCACTGATATCTATATCCACAATATGCAACTTTTCGAACGACCGAACGAAAAAAACTTTTGCCTTGTTCTATATAATTATAACGATTGAGAAATAATTTTCACTTTTAGAGTGAACATGCTGATGATAATGATACAAAACCATCTTATTTACGAAGTTATTCTAATCCATTGAAAACAGATATATCTAAGGAAGATGATGATGACGATGATTTAATTGATACAGTTCTTGAAGTTCCAACAAAATGTGTTGAACAAGTACGAGAAGTTGGTAAACGTGTTGTTCAATATGTTGTTGATCATAGTCATCTTCCACATTGGTTACTTGATAATGAATTTCTTATATCAGGACATCGTCCACCAATGCCAAGTTTTAAAGAATGTTTTGCATCTATATTTCGTCTTCATACAGAAACAGTTAATATATGGACACATCTATTGGGTACATTATTTTTTATTATAATGGCTATTTANTTTTAGAGAATCAGTTGCATCGGGGCCATGTATTCCGATAAATCAAGATACGGAGATAAAAAATACAATAAGAAGTGAACGTATCGTTTTAAGTTCAAAGATCGCGGCGTACTGCCCATTTTTTCTATAAAGATTATTGAATTTCTTGCCATTTTATAAATTTTATGTTTTGCATTGAACTGTGAAACAATTCAATGCGTTTACTTTTCTTACAACTTAAAATAAATAGTTGTTCCGAATAAGTTTTTTTTTTCTTCACTATTTTAAATAAATTATATCCCCATATATATATTTAATTCAATCAATACATGCTAGTATCCTATTTCGAAAAATTTCTAAAGTTAAGAATATTCAGCTAACTTATTTATTTTTACCATTTAACGATGGAACCAAGATGCCCATCATATTTATTACATTAGGTTTCTTGTACAACGATGTTGTAACTGAAACTTCTTAGAAAATGGAAATCGATCTATAGTCACGAGAGACATTATAACATTGTTAACTTACGTTATCTACGCATGAATCTACTAGAGAATCAATTCTAGATAGTTAAGCACGATACATTGTCGAATGATTTCCTTCTAGAAAAGAAAACTTCCCATTGGGCAAATTCCCGCAACTGTTGATATTGAAATCATATTCTGCTTACATTTCATTGGTTTTTACTGCGAAATATTATTTTCTAGGTGATGTTACGACCTGTTCGAGGCCGAGACCGTGTACGACAAACTACCTATTCTGATGGTTTTATTGTATCACTGACACCTACTACTAGTAGTGGCGTATCACTATCTTCCTCATCGCCGACAAGAGATGACAATCAGTCTGAATCTGGCTTTTCCTCACCGTCAATCGATTCCCAAAAGTCGACGTTGTTTCAAAGGATACACTATGGTGTTGTAGGTCGTGGTAGACCTATCAAACAAAACGTTGTACCAAAAGATGTTGTGCCAGAAGATCCTTATTGGACTGTCACCAACTTGACCAATGCACAATTCCATTCAAATATTCGACCAACAAAACCCGATGAACTAGGAACACTTGGAAAACAAATACAAGTCATCGTCAACTATTTTCCTATACTTCAATTTCCACATAAATATCTCGTTTACAAATATCATATTCAAATACGTAATAAGAAAGATTTTGAAATTCATCGAGAACGTCGACGGTAACTATACTTTTCATTTTCTTTCTTTTGACATCCATAATGTTGTTCAAATTACAGTCTATTGTACAACATATGGTTGAACCAATATTGTCGAAGATACCCACAAATTGATCGGCATAAAATTGTCTATGATAACCAATCAACAATTCTTGTATTCGATCAACCATTACCTAACATTGATGAAAACGTAAGCATAATTGTTCATTCTCTTGAATTGCAATATCAGAATATTGTTGTAGACTGTTGCTGAGGACATAAAAGGACCTAATCGTTCAAATCGACAAGAACTTCACAAAGTGATCGTTCGAAAAGCAGGATGTCCAGTTGATTTAGCTGTGATACAGAATACGAAGGAAATTTTTGATACAGAAAATTTAACAAATTATACACCTGAAAGTCTTCAGAATATCAAACAAATTCTATCGATTGTATTACATGAACATTGTTCAAATCATGCTACTTTCATTTACAACCGATGTTTTTTTTCCTCGACGACAGATGGATCCCATGGAGAATGGGATCTTGGTTTAGGCAAAGCATTATGGCGAGGTTTTTATTCATGTCTTGTTTTTGCTAAAGGAAAACATAAACTTCTCATGAATCTTGACGGTAAATTTCAATATATGAAAGATAATGTTCATTTAGAAATATATTTGTTTTCTTCCAATTGTCTTAGTCAAACATACAGTGTTTATGAAAAAACAACCATTTCTTGAATTTCTTTGTGAAATTATGTTGCATAGTCCATGTGGTAAGCGAAAATATGCTCGTCAACGAAATGTTTCCAAGGCTGATGGTGAGGATGTACTCAGATTTCTCGACATCAATAACCCGACTTACAGAAACGAAATAGATTTTCTTCTGAAACATTGTAAACGTAAGTATATTGATGTTTTGAAAAAGAAAAAAAAATACTTTTTTGTAAAATTAGATCTTCGTGTTCGATCACAAAATGCAGATAAACCTATAACTTATGAAATATCGCAATTAGGAAATTCAGCATCAACACAAAATTTTGAATGGAAAACAAATAAAAATAAAACTGTGACAGTTGAACAGTATTATAGAGAGCACTATAACATAATATTGAAGTAGGTATATGAAATTATATTTTATTTACTTATTTTTTTTTCTTTTGTGAATATATAGATATCCATCTTTACCTGTATTACAAATGCGTAGTGGATCTTATTTACCAATGGAACTAGTCGACGTTGAACCCGTTAGAGTGAAAAAAATTACTGATGACCAAAGAGCTCTACTCTGTAAATATTCATCAATTGTACCTCCTGTATATTGTAAATCAATTAAGAATATTCGTGAAAACCCAAAACAACAATGTTTTGAAGAAGATCCATTTGTTGCTGCTTGGAATCTAAATGTTGGTACCAATATGCTGACATTACCAGCTCGGATCTTACCTATGCCTGAGATAGTTTATACTCCTCAATATAGAGTTACTGCTGAAGCAGTTCGAGATCTTGGTACTTGGGAAATGAAACCAACACAATTTCACAAGCCTGCAACATTTCCTTCTGTTTGGGGGTTGATTAACTTATCATCATTAAATCAACAGGCATGCGAAGATTTCTATAATGAACTTTGTGCTGTAGCACAACACCGTGGTATTGACTGTCATCCACCTGAAATTTATGAAGAATATGATTCTCAACATCATACAACTAATGACGTCATCGCCTTATTGAAAGATAAAACAAATCGAAATGCTGATTGCAAGTTTCTTTTAGTCATCTTATCGATGAATAGTAGAATTAGAAGTTATATTTATGGTACTTTGAAGAAAATGGTAAAACAATCATTATTTTCGAAAAGGAATGTATTTTGTATTTTAGTTTTTTTAGTGCGAGTTAGAGTTTGGTTTTGGAATTGTTACTCAAATGATTCGTGAATCAAATGCTGTTATAGGTACACGAAGAGATCGAACAAAATGGGATTATGCAAAATTGAATCATATTTTACTAAAAATCAATACCAAGTTAAATGGAATAAATTATATTCTTAAAGTGCAGTAAGTTTGCTTTTCAGAAACATTCAAATTCGATTATTTACTCATATGATGTACGATTTTTTGTTTTTTTCAGTGATGTTATAAATCGGTTTTTTTCGCGTGGTCATCGTATCATGTATGTTGGTGCTGACTTGAGTCATCCTCCGTCAAGTTATGGTTTTCAACTTTCAGTTGTAGCTGTTGTTGCGTCAGCTGATGATATACCTAATTGCTATTTTAAAGAAGTTTATCAACAACTACGACCAGCAGAAGCACGAGGTGAAAGTCGAGAATATATTGTTAGTATGAAAGAGATCATGAAATCTTTGATTCAACAATATGCACTACATCAAGGTTATCCACCTACAGCAATTGTTATTTATCGGGATGGTATTTCTGAAGGTGAATTTGATTCTGTCTTTGAAAAAGAATTAATGGCAATACGGGAAGCTTGTGTTGATTTATCACCAGTTTATCGACCATATATTACATATATTGTTGTTAATAAAAAACATCATACAAGATTATTTCCGATTAACTCAGAAAAGAATGTTGCAGCGGGTACTATTCTCGATTCACATGATATCACTACAGCTACTACTTATGATTTCTATTTGAATAGTCAGCATGGAGCACTGGTAAAAAGATAATTCTTATGATTATCATTGGTGTGTTTCACTTAATATTGATGTTTTAGGGAACAAGTCGACCAACTCATTATCATGTATTATATGATGATAATAAATTACAACCAGATGAAGTTCAAATGTTAACTTATGCACTTTGCTATACATATGCTCGATGTACTCGTTCAGTGTCCATACCAGCACCAGTGAAATATGCTGATTTATTAGCTCTTCGTGCTACTTATTATATAAATAATAATGATGATTCAGACACGTAAGTTTAATTTTTTCTTTGATCTTGTGTTTCTGTATTTTGTTTTCTTTTAGAGAATCAGTTGCATCGGGGCCATGTATTCCGATAAATCAAGATACGGAGATAAAAAATACAATAAGAAGTGAACGTATCGTTTTAAGTTCAAAAATCGCGGCGGACTGTCCGTTCTTTTTGTAAATATAATTTATAACGTTTTGTTTCTATTGTTATTATATGTCAATTATATCTATTTTTTTTGTAAACAATAAATATGAGTGGTAAGAAAAAATTTTTTGGTAAACTATATCAACTAGTTAATATGTATAGGTAATTTAATGCTAGAAATCATCGATAGGCTTCTGTTCAAGTTAAAAGATTATCATTGAAATGCATGACAGAAGTATCTCCGCTGTTTCCTCATTTTTGAGCTAAGGTTTTGTTCCTGAATAGAACTTGATGAGACTAGCTAGAAAATGTTTTCAACTGGTCAATTGTTTTTGAATTTAAACTCAGTATATAAGATAAACTTCAGTGAGATATGAAAAAAACTTCAAAGGTTAAATCTTCTTAGGTCTTCCCGTCAGAGTTATAGGCATTTTTACTAGAATTTTAGCGTCTGGCATCGTGCATACTAAAACAGAGAATGACGGCATATATTTGAATGTGAAGAAAAAACAAAAAACTTCCGCATCTTTCGTGAAATATAAGTGATTTTTGAGACTTTAATATCTTTCTACTGACAAATAGATTTGTTTATGAGCAACATATAGAGTTAAAATACTATGATTCGATTTGTTAGTATATACTACGCTAGTCAAAAGTTAGACACGAGTTTTATGAATTCTTGACCTCGGATAAGATATCTACATGAAAGTAAAATGAATCTATTTTGAGTTGAAATTCTGTTCACAAACAGATCTTCGGATTTCTAGACTGAAACAAAATTTACACCAAATATGAATGATTTTTTTCTCAAGATACTGAATTTTTAGGGTAGACTCATTATTGAGATCTGTCTCTTTTGTGTGAACATTTTCGATAATTCAAAATCTTGAGAACGAAGCATCTGCTTTAGATGAATATTTTTGTTTCTTGCTGGAAATCATAAAATCTGTTTATAAACAGAATTTTAGATTGAAATGGTTTCATTTCATTTTGCTGTAAATACCTTGCTCATGGCTGAAAACTCCCTAAAATGGTTCTAGCTTTTGATCAACACATAATAAGCATTGATGGTATTGACGCTGTCTTAGCTCCACTAAACGGTATCTATGAGAAAAAAATCAGCAGAAAAATGAGAAAATAATTAATATACCTCTCTCGTTTGTTAGAATACTCATTGTTGAAATTAATATATATACGACAAAATTGTTTGCATTGCTTTGTAATTATAAAATATTCAAGAGTGAAAGCATTGTTCATTATTTGAAATACTTGTTCATTATAAATTTAATGAAATGTACAGTACAAGAAATAGTAACTATATATGGCAGCCTACGGCCTCTTTCGTACAAAAGTAAAAACAATTCCCTTCGATGAAAGAAATAACCTATGAGTATTACAGAAAAGAAAAGAACAATTCATGTTTTCGTACTGCACTACATTGCTATGCAGCGTTTGAAAACTTTAGAAGTAGTGACAAGGCCAAGGTCACTATTAAGATTTATTTTAACAATCTCGATTATTGGCTAGCTCAGTTCACAGACTACAATCTTAGATCTATTTCGATAATGAATTGCGCATTATTTCTTTTAGTTGTCGTATTAATATATTAACAATACATTTTGATTTTAAAAGCGAACATTAACTCATCTATTCATATTATCTTCATCCAAAAATAAAAATAAAAAACCTTGATAAACTTGTGCGTACTAAAAAATTTTTAGATTTAAATCATCTTTTTATTAATTAGTATTTACATTCTAATATCTTCTAAAGCTGTTAATCAAATAAATTTTGTCAAAAATATTTATATTGGTTGATTTAAAATGTTATTTTCAGCATATCAAACAATTGTTTTTCAATATATTGAATGAACATTGAATACATTTACAATCAATCAGTTTTTATACAACTATAGTCAATGAAACGATATTGAAAATGATATTTTAGTTTAAGTAAAGTATTGTGAACTGCTTCTTATTCATTTCTTGTTTTGATTTCGACAGTATGCAACAATAAACAAAAAACAATCTATTCATCTTATGTTTTTCACAAATATTTATGAAATTATATTATTCTGTCGTTTCAATGAAAACAAGTATTATCATCAGTGATATATTCTAGAAAATCAACGGAGAAGATGTTTACATTTTCTTAATCTAGATAATTTCAAGACTTACCTATTAGACTGAAACCAATTTTCACACAACTGTTGCGCACCTAAGTGTCTGTATTATTCTTTCAAAGGCAAAGCAATATAGTCCTGTACGAAGTCGTTGTCAGGCTCAACTAAATTTTTCGCCAAACACTTTGCTTTAGTATAGAAACCTTTGTGAATTCTAGGTTTTGCTCTCTGATATTCACTGTATAAACTCGTTCATTTCAGAGATTCCAACGACATCTTATCATGTACTTTGATAATATATCGTTGAAATCTCTAAAATGAATGAAGTTATACAATGAATATCAGAGAACAAAATCTACAACTTAAAAAAAAGTTTCTATGCTAAAGCAATTTTTTCCGAAAAAATTTAGTTCACTGAAAGAATCACTCTCTGTAGGACTCTACTATACACTGTTTGGGATGAGTAGAAAAGTATTGTTCTGCTGATTTTTGGTAATTCTTAAAAAAGAAGCTCAAAAATATGAGTTTTTTTTTTTAGTATACTTTCTATATTTTCACTTTTTTATTCGAATGGCAAACAATAAAAAGATATCCACCCGAAACACAGTATCTAGTGTTTGAAAAAACAATTTCAGCTAAATCAAACAAAACCTCAGTTCAACGAGGACAATAATTGGGGTCATGATAACCCCAGTATCTCATAAAAAGATAGCGTCCGAGATAAATGTTTTCACTCTATTCGTCAAGATATACCTACCCTAAAAATCTCGAAATTTGCTAATAAGCCGTTCTTCGGAAAGGGAGATATATCCTTATAGCATTGATACATACACAAATTTGTTTGAATAGCCAGCTAACACTCTATACTGTATTTTTCTTACTATATCAGTCTATTCTTTCATTGACACTGTATATATTAAGTACGAGACTTTTCTTCAATTTATTATTTGTGTTTTTACGTTTATTATCTTTGGAAATGAAGATTTCATATCTGAAGATATCCCGAACGGGGGGCACAGTCTCTATTTTTTGCATAGCAGACGGACATGTAACCTTCTTGCTTAGAAATAATTGTATATGACACAGAAAGGCATTATTTATCGATTCAATATTTTTTCAAAATCAGAAAAACTGAAAAATACTTGAAATACTTTGAGTTTTTGGAAAATCACTGCGCTGTCCAGGAATGTTTCCGTTAATAAGAATTAGAGACAGTAGATAGAAGAATATTTAGACAAAATTTAGAAATGTTTGGAGGTAGGCTGGATTGCTCATTTTACAGAACCAGCCCGTTCGGACGACACCAGAAAAAAATATAATTATTTTTCTCGCAGAAGTTAAACATACAAATTAAAAGATATTTTTTTTTACTATTGCATAGAGTTTGGCTTGGAGATTCAGAAAATAAACTTGATTTGCCTGTCGAACAGCTTAATTTTGTCAAGTATCAATTTTTTCAGTGATATCACAATTTTCAGACTAATTTTTAGACAACTAATTTGAACTCTTTACTTCAATTCTTCACTCATAATTATAATCAATATTCATATGATATAAAATATGAAATAAATTATTCTAGATATATATTAATGACAAAAATAATCTCAAAATTTGAGCATCTTCCTAATGAACTATTACTTGATATATTGGCATATTGTCGTCCACGAGATTTATTTATATCATTATTTAATCTTAATCAACGTTTAAATACACTTATATATAGTCAATCAGTTAATATTGATTTAGGTAATGCATTACCGAAATATTTACTTGATGTTTATTATAAATCCGTTTTATATAATGCACGTGAACAAATATATTGTTTACGATTATCAGATACATATGGACGCATGAATCGTTTTGTCATAAATGCTAAACAATTAGACATTGATTTTGAAATACGAAAGAGTATACTTAATCGAGTTAAATATTTAATTTTATGGGATCCAGTTATGACAAGTCTTTATGAAATTTTAAATTATGTAAATAATCTTGAATATTTTCATGTTACATCAATAGGAACAGCACGACAAACACCGAATTTTTCTGAGAGATTACTTAAAAGACTATTTGAAATGAAAACATTAAAACGACTTTATTTAGCATTACATGATTCTATTATATTCAATACTGATATCGGTAAATATTATGATTTTATTTCATAAGAAAAAATATTTTTATATTGAAATTTATTAGATATAAATACATCCCTTGTTCATTTAACATTAAATGGATGTTATATGCAACATTTAGCACCATTACTTCGTCGATTACCTAACATTCGAAAACTTAATATCATGTGTTACAATCGGCCAAATCTTTTTTCTATAAATCCAGAAAATTTTGATTATAGTCTATATGATGGACTTGCTGATTGTGTACCATATTTAACACATTTAATATTGCATGTTACTCATACTCCATTTTTCGAAATAAAGGCTCTTCTCCAACAATTATCCAAACTTATAAAATTATCATTTTCATCACTTCTTATCGAAGAATATTCAAATGGTTTGAATTGGGAAAATATTATTACAAAATATTTACCAAATTTACAAAAGTTTAGTTTATTTATTAATGAAGCACAAATTCCAACACGTACGCAAGTTGATCTTATTAAAATGATACAATCGTTTTCTAGTCCTTTTTGGCATCGATGGCCAGTTGTTATTGAATATTATATTGATTCAATATCAAAAAAACATCTCATGTTGTATACATTACCCAGTCAAAAGGATAGTATACGAACATATTTATATGGAGTACAAACACAAACAGCAAGAGAAATATTTGATGATGATCATTTAAAGTAAGAAGACGACTAAAGGACCTCGTCAGATTTTGTGACCTATCTTGAACCAGGATAACATACATATGGTTTTGTAGAGCAAATCGCGATGTATTGAATGGTATATAAGAAATCAAGTTTTATGAAAATTCTCATGTATTAAGAGTCAATACACTGATTATAACGCGTGGAGGACATATAGGGTATTCATAGACACTAATATTCATAATATATTCTAGGATAAATTTCTAATTTCTTTTTAAACTCAGTTTGATACAGTTATAGGTGCTCTTCAATTTTCTGTAAGCAACAGTTTTCATTGTTGCTTTTTCATACCTAGAAAATAGTCCTTTTTCTTATGTATATATTATTCCTTGATTATATGATATTCTAGAGTATTCAACTTTGTGTCACAGAACAAGTAAATACCAACATGGAAATTTCTCAAAAATTGCACAGTATCAAGCTCTATATGTTTCACATACACGACCTGTTGAAACAGTAGAGACTTGTTATCAATTTGCAAGATTGTTAAAGTTTTTATGCACCAATAATCAGCACAGCATCTCTGATGAATCAATACAAATAACTTCTTCGTAAAGGGAACACATTGTTTGGTCTCCAGACATTCCTGGAGGGGAGTATGGATATCGAAATGCAGGAAGGAAGTCTGCCATTTTTATTATTTCTTTTTCAAATTTTTATTTCAAGAAGTCAGGTCTGACTTTTTTCATGACCCTCGACAAGAGCCTATAAATATTTCATGTTAATTTGAAAAACAATTTTTTCCATGTACCCATACCCACTGTAAAGGTCTTAAGTCCAAAACTTTTCCCCAATTATGAAGGATTTATTTATATCAATTTATCAGGGATGCTGCGCTAATTATTGATACATAAAAAAATTTTAATAGGACCGTTGATTATTGTTCAAATATCGTCAATATACTGATTCCATGATATAAAAAAATAGGCTATTCTAAGGAGCAAACTTGCAAGTTGACAATAAATTTTTGCTGTTTCAAAAGACCTTATCTCTGAAATATAATATAGAGCTCGATAGTGTACAAGTTTTTTGAGAAAGTTTCACTTTGATACTCACTTGTTCTCTGGTATAGAGTTGAATATACTGGAATATTCAATTAATTCAACAGTAACAAGGATATAAGAAAAAAGGACCATGTTTGATTCTAGAAAAAACAACAATGAAAACTATTGATGACAGAAAATTGAAGAGCATCTATACCTGCATTGAAAGGAATTTAATAAAAATTGCACAACTTTGTCTTAGAACCTCTTAACAATCACGATGTCTATGAATATCCTATAATGTCTTCCAAGTATTATAACCAGTGGAAACTTTCATAAAAGTTGATTTCTTATACATCGCTTGATATGCTACGATCCAATCTACAAAATAAATATACATGGCATCCTGGGTCAGCATCGGCCATCAAATCCAGTAGAATTCTTTTGAATATAATTACGTTCTTTTTGTTTTAGCTGTAATAAAGTAGTAAAAAACTTAGATTATAAAAAGGTGTATGAACTTCATTTTACTCTTCATTCAAATCCGCCATCAAATGTTCTTTTACCAAATCGTATTTACACAAATCTCAAATCACTATCGTTTTCATCAGAACTAACTGATCCAGGATCCTATGATGCAGATATAATATTAAATGATTTAAAAGAAATATTTTCAACGTCTGTACTTGCAAATATAAAACGTATTTATTTATACAATCGAATTTATCCAATAAATTTTCGTATGTATACAAATAGAAAATTTTTCATGAAACTCAATTCGTGATTGTCTCTGTTTTTTGTTTCTAGTTTCAAGATTATTAAATCTATTACCAAATGTACAAAGTCTTCGAATAGATGCATCTTTATTTAATATTTCAACAGTTTTTACTCGTATTACAAGTTTAACAGTCGATTTGAATTCGAATGTTATATGTAAAACAACAGATATTCTTCGTCAAATGGGTACTTTTCTACCTAATATACGCTATCTTTATCTTGAATTAAAAAATGCTCAAGACATCTACATTCTTCTTGTATATTGTCTTCGAAAACTTGAACATCTATTAGATATTCATATAACACTTCACGAACCAAATGTGCGTATTGATCAACAAGCGTTTATATCATGGTTTAATGACTATAAATTATTAAATGGATTAAATAATAAAGTCCAAGTTGAATTTGGAGGTGAAGATAATCGTTTACATATTTCATTGTGATATTTTTAAATAAAATATAAAATTAAAATAAAATTTCGTTTTTTATATCTAATAAAAAAATGAATTCCATTTTCATTTTGGTTATGTAAAAACAATTTAACATTCATCATTCAAACTACTTAATGCAGGGGAAATGAATTCTTTAGTTTCAAAAGCTGAAAAGAACCTGTCCATTTGAAAGTATAAAAAAGGTTGAACAAATTAATAAATAAAACTACAAAAAGATATATATAATAGCTTTGGAATGAATTGAATCATAAATAAGACACTGTGATTAAGTACGAACTTACAGCTATGTAGAGTATTCTTTTCATAGTCACTTAGGTATGTAAATTATCAAAGGATTGTGAAGCGTAGGTTTTACTCTGTCATCGTTATCATTAATGCAATTCATGTAAAAAAATTCTCACCAGTTCACAATACACAATATTTTTATTCTTCGTTTGTTTTAAGTTGATTAGAAACCATTATAATATTTTTTTACTTTCTCATATTATATGACGTCAAAGTAATCATTACACTTTCTATTAAACAATAGAATCAATTATTAGTACTATTTTATCAATTATTGTGTTGTCACTTTATATCATGAATGAAGTTTTCAAAGTACCGGAGATACAAACTTAAAGCAGAATTTGCTTGTTGTTGTTGTTTCTTACATATGATTAGATACAGCGTGATCGGCTGATTAAGAATATATCTGATTTCATTTTTTTTTCAATGAGTGTTTAAGGAAAAACTTTTCATTTCTTTTTCTTCCGATGATCTATTTTCTCACCTTCAAATTTCAAAATTGCTTGGTTCAGACTCACTGTGAAAACTGAAGCTAAGGAAGCCATTTTATAGAATGGCTTCCTTAGCTTCAGTTTTCACGATGAGTCTGAACCAAGCAATTTTGAAATTTGAAGGCAACAAAAGAAAATTGATCTCTTTTTTCAAGAAAGTAGGTCATGGGAAAAAAAAGAAAAATTTTCCCCTAAACACACATTGCAAAAAAAAATGAAAACACATTTAATCCTGACCAGTTTATCACGCTGTATCTAATCATACGTAAAAAAAAAGTAAGAAAAAAAAATCTGTTTTAATTTTGTATTTCCGGTGCCTTATAAAAAATCTAATATAAACGTCAATCTTTTAGTGTAAATCGAAAATAACAATTATACAATCATTTTCATAAATTCAATGTTTAAGAATGTTTTTTTCCCATGATTAATCGATATTTATTGGCTAATTGTCAAAATTATCTTAGACGAATAACTACATTCGTCATTCTACTTGTTGTACTATCTTCATTTGCATTTTACACAGTATTTCAAGTTTGATTTATGGTTTACAACTAGTTATGAAGTATACAAAGTGGATTATAAATAACAATACGATAAAATATTGAAATATCTTCATTTCGGTTCGTTCGAATGGGCTGAGTCTTTGGTTAGTGGTGAAAGTTTGATTAAACATTTTTTTAATATAGATAACGTAAACAAATACTACTGTCAAGTAAGAAACATACCTATGAAGCGTTTTATGGATAATTTTCAGCTGTTATCTAAGAGAATAATATTAAGAAATCAAAACAAACTTTACGAACGATACTATGTTGATGTACATAGAGCAGTTTTACAAAACTAGTCAATTTAAATGCTGAGATTCGTACCTGATAAGAAAAACGCATAATGGTAGTCATTTGAATACTAAAACATAAATATGCTGGCAAAAATCAGTTCGACATGTTTGAAAATCGGAAATATTGTAACCGTGTACTTTTAAACTAACCAGCTAGTTCGAAAAGTTCTCTCTATGTGCATCAATATAATATTATTCATAAACTTCATTTTGATTTCTTACTATTATTCTGTTCGATAACAACTGGAGATTATCGATGAAACGCTTCATTTGTATATTTCTTACTTGATAACAGGTAAAATTGCTTTCATGATACCGATAATAATACTTAATAGTTATATTTAATTACTTTATCCGTATGCAAAAAGAGAGTTTTAAATAAATTTCTACCACGAATTAACAACTAAGCCCATTTTATTGAATTAACACGAAAATATTTCATCTTTTTATTGTAGTATTATTTATGGCTCATCCTGTATAATAGCTTTAGGGAAAATTGGATTATAAATAAGACGCTTTGATTGAGTACGTGCTTTAGGCAATATATAATATTAGTTTCATAATCACTTAGGCATGTAAATCGTAAAAAATATTGTCAAAAAATAGGTTATACTATGACGTCGTTATTATTATTAAAATTCATGTGAAAAAATTTCTTAGCAGTTTACAATAGGCAATAATTTGATTCTTCGTGTGTTTTGACGTAATCAGAAATCTTTACAATATTTTTTTTTCATCTAAAACTATTTCAATGTAAACAATACACTTTTTATTCACTAACGGAATTAATTAGTAATATTATTTTGCTAATTATTGTATTGTTCCTTTGTACTATATATCGAGCTTTTACATAAAATCCCATCCAGATATTTGTCTCTTAGTGCAAAGTGAAGAACAACGATTATGCGATCATTTGCATTTTACACACTTCCAAGTTTGACATCTACTGATATTCAATTTATCAGTACTTATGGCGTATATTATATGATATTTAAACAACGCTGTTTATGTTTTCTTATTGAAACCTCGATCACATGATAGGACGTCAAGTACGAGTAGTTCGACAAAAATTAGTTGGGCAATTAATTGCTATGATTCTAACAAAAGTAACATTTTTAGGTATTACAACTTTACCGTTTGTTACTTTTTGTATGTATACATTAAATAGATCTTTTGTTGATCCAAATGATTCTGTTCGAATTGTACTTGAAGAATAAATATTAATTATTACTTTATCTTTATTTTATGCCAACTTTGCAGTAAGCGATATTCTTTTGTTTGATGTTTTTTTGTTTCGTTCTAGAGCATTTCCTATGTATTCGTATTGATTTGGAAACAATTTTGTCACCAAGTCATAAATGTATTTGTAGAAAAGAATTGTTTTTCATCGAGAAGAACACGAACATAATGCGTATTTCTAATGTTTTTTCAAAGTCACAGACGTGAAGCCTAAAAAAAGTGATGATATTTTACAGGTATCTTTTTTATACAAGGTATAGTCAATATTTAAATGTAGTGTGTGTAATTTATTTTTATTTTCTGTGTTCATCAAGACGAGAATACAATCGTAACAAATCCAAAATGATGCAAACAGAAACAAAAACTCAAATAGAGGTAAGTACTTCATAGGTACTGTTTTTTCTGCAAATGTCAATGTGAGTCGACCTTGATTGTTCATAGAAAGAGTAACAGTAAAGTTTTCATACGATGATTAAATTACAACTAGTATATGTATTCTTAACTTATATATACACTACTTATCGAAAATATCTCCTTTCCTTCCCTCCCCTCTCTCCGATCTTATTTTCTATGAAAGTTAAATGTCTGAAAATTGTTCTCTAGGGAGTTCACAGATAATGTAGATTAGTGATAACGTCAGTACCAAAATCATTCAAGCTAGAACGAATCTATAATAGGTGATGTTCATGATCATTGTGAATCTCGTAACTTGAGAACATACACTTTTTGAGTCGTACGTTTCTTTATTTCGTAGAAGTGCATTATAGCTATTTCTAATACAAATTTTATCGAAATTCATCAAGCTACTGACGAACTAGACCATTTTTACTGAAAACATAGATATGCAGATACCATAGAATACCATTGAACGGTAAATAACCGAGCAATAATTTAATGGATCAATCTGGAATTTTCAGTTCTTTTTGCGAAATGGAGCAATTGTCTCCATTTATCAAAATTTGGCTCAGAAAATTGTTTTAGATAGCTTCAGGGTTCTATACAACAAAAGAAACTGTGGTATTCTAAAATCTATAAAGTTCCCGGAGAGAACTTTATAGCGAATAACTGTATATAAGGATACGGGTATTACTATATTACAGAAAGATCATGTTCTTAAAGCTTTACGCCTCGGTTACTAGGATGATCATGCATTAAATTATCTAGTGTAGTTTTTAATATAATTCTCACCAACTCGAATTCTAATACAACATGTTTCGACGACGATAGCTAGGTTTTACTTTTTCCTATTAACTACGAACAGTGGGAAAACAGTTTTTCCAGCGAAATCCTGACTTACGACAAATTTACTCTATTTCACACAAAAAAAAGGCAAAAACAATAGGTTTACTGATTTATGGTTTATTTTTAGGATACTATATGAGTAATTATCGATTGTTCAGCATGAAATTATAGCCTAAGCCATGATCCTTCATTACTCCAAAGATCACCTTATTTTCTTGACTAATGGAAACTCAGAGTCTCGACCAGTTCGTGATAGTCACTGGTGCGCTTTTTTCCATTTAGTGAAGTACTTGCTTTTGAAAGCTTCAGGAAACGACAATGGCCAACTATGATGGAACACCTTCCAAAAACTTCAAATTGATTCATATAACTATTGCTGAGTTATTGACCATTCAATGGCATTCTGCAGTATTTTTTTCCGTATCTATATTTTCAGTAAAAATGGTCTAGCTCATCATAGTTTGATGAGCTTCGATAAAATTTGTATCAGAAACAGCTATAATTCAGGGCCACAAGATGAGGGATTGAACGGCTCAAAAAGTTCATTTGCTCTCGAATTACGAAATGCACAGTGATCGTGACCACCATCTTTTGTAACTTCATTCCAGCTTGAATGATTTTGGTGATGACGTTACCTCTAATCTACATTTTCTGTGAACTCCCTGCAGAACAATTTTCAGACATTTATCTATCATAGGAGCTAAGACCTGAGGAAAAGAGTACTTTTGGCCAGCGGTATAAATGAGAAAGGAAGCATATATTTCAATGTTATTGATATTATTCACCGGTAGGTAACGGAAGTAAGGAAATTGCTAAAGTTGATCAGAAGAAGAACTTTATTAATTAATTTTCAATGCATTTTTTAAAGTTAAAGATCGTCTATGTAAAATTAAAAA